GCTCCAGGTGGTAGGGGCACCTCCTGCTACGGTACGCACAATGACTGGACTGGTCAGGACGGGATGGAGCAAGACACCAACTGGTTCCTCGACGATGCTAGCTTCATTCCTGGAGGCGGCGCCCCACCTGCAGCCCGAGGTCATGGCCGTCGTCGAGCCCATCTACACGTGGGCACAGCTGGTCTTCGACGCACGAGTACCACGGGCAGTCCTACAAAGTGCGTGGCGCTTGCAGTCCTTGCGCCTTCAGTCTACCACCTCGACCTGGTCTATGGTTGCGGGTCCAGCCAGTGCAGTGGTGTTGGCGATTCGACGGCTGGGTTGGAGACCGCTGACATACTGCAGATGGCACACAGGCAACGGGATGACACTGGATCTGGAAGACATGGCCCCCAACTGGATACGCGCTGTGGCAAGGCGCAGTTTCAGGTCTGTGCAATGGGAAGATTGGGCTAAGCGTACGTCTCACTCTCCTGAACATCCTGAGCCTCCTCGAGACCCTCGCGGATACTGGATCGAACCCGTCGCGGCCATGATGAACGTCCCCGAGGACGCCACCACATGGAATCTCAGTCCACAGGCTCGAGGTGCGTTGCGATCTACGGTCATCGGTGCCCAATGGTCTCAGCTGCGGCTTCACAAGATGGGATACTCGGACACATCATCCTGTCAGCGCTGTGGACAGACTGGGGATCTGCATCACCGATTCTGGAAGTGCTCCTATCACTCAGAGGCCCGATCGCGTGCGGTGGATGAGGAGCTGGTTGAGATGGCAAAGAGGTCGCATGTGGCGGATCCCTTTTTCACTCGTGCTCTCATGCCCAGGGCGATGCTGCCCGACATCCCGCCGCCTGTGGATTCACAACGGTGGTGGTATTGCATGGGAGGTCAGGCTATGGACATCACGGGCACTGTTTACACGGACGGCTCAGCGCAGTGCCCGCTCTACTGGCCTGAGGCCAACCGTGCTGGTTGGGGACTGGCCATCCTTACGGGACGCCGTCTCAAGGGCATGGCGTTCGGGCCCTTGCCAGGGCCCATGCAGACGGCCCAACGCGGGGAGCTGTACGCCGCACTGCAGGTTCTCCGACACGGACGGCTTCCTCTACACATCAAGACGGACTGCCTTGGCTTGGTCGAATCGCTGAAGTACGGAGAAGCTCATTGCTGCCACGTCCGCCGTGACAACGCGGACCTCTGGCGGCTCATCTGGAGGGCGATCAATGATCATGGAGGCATCTCAGACTCGCTCAAGGTCACATGGGTAGCAGCCCATCAGACCCTGGCCGAGGCAGGCGCCGACAGTCTAGACAAGATCGGCAACGACTTCGCGGACGTGGCGGCCAAGAAGGGGACACGGCTGCACGGCGTCCCGTTGGTGACCTACGACGAGCACGGGCGCCTCCTCAAGGCGGTCAGGCAGACCGCGGGCTGGATCGGCGCCGCCCAGTCCTCCGCCATCCTGCTGGCGGACCGCGTGGAGGTCCAGGCGCGGCGGCAGCGCTGCACCAGCCGTCGTGGAGACGGACGCGCTCCCCAGGCGGCTGAGGCGGGCAGCCAGCCGCGTGGCGCGGCCCCTGTGCAGAGTGGAAAGTCTCACTCTCCCATCCTGGCCACCGTGGGGTGGCGATGTGCTCACTGCCCTCGGTTCGCGCGAAACGCCAGAGGCCTCAGGAGGCTTCAACGTGAGGTTTGCCCTGTGAGGGCTTTTCGGGCCCCCCCAGCCGACGCCTCCCTCGGGAAGCGGCAGCTGGGAGTCCTGGGGACCTCCGAGGTCTCCAGTTCGAAACGGCGTCGGACGGCGGCCGAGGAAGGCCCCCCGTCGAGCCTGGAGCGGGTCCCCCAGGATGATGGCGACTCGCGGGGACTTCGTAGGCGGCGGTCTCACGACGGCGATGGGGATTGTCTCAGGGGAGTTCGGCCTCGTGGGACCCCTTCCCTCGTTTCGACTGACCCCTCCTCGTCCTTCGGAGCCCCCACTACAGCTGAGGAGGAAAGCCGTCCTGGGTCCGAGGGAATGGCACGTGGTTTGTGGTCTTGCGCCCCATCCCCCCGTGTCCCCTCCCCTCCTCGCCCTCGACCTCTGTCGGACCTCCCCTCCTCCTCTTCCGCCTCCCCCGCTGCTGCGCCGCCGCCGCCTGGGCCCTCTGGTCGTTTTTCGAGGGTTTCGTTTGCCGAGGGACCTGATGCCCCCGAGAGGCCTCAGGAAGTTGTTCAGGTGGCGGCGCAGGCGGCTAGCTCTCGGGGTGTCAAGCGCGCGTCGAAAGGGGCGCCCCCCTCCCGAGCGGCGGCGACGGTCCCTGTGGCCCCTCTCCCGCGCTCGGGAGAGGTCCCCCCCGAGAGCGCGAGGGGGCACACCCTGTACTTGTCTGGGGATCATGTGGGGTGCAGCCAATGCGGGGCCTTCTCGGCCAGGACGGCGAGGACCCAGCTGTTCTGGGAGTGCGACCCCGAGGCCGCCCTGACGGGCAATCCCCAGCGTAAGTGGCGGAGGGACAATTTTATGAAGGGCATCCACCCGAAGGGGAGGGTGTCCCAGGCCATCGTGCCACCACGCAGGCTGCTGGTCACGGACGATGCGGTCCAGTGGCTAGGCCTACTCTCAATTTCGTGAGCCCCCTTGGGGCTCTCTTGGGACGGGGGCCTCGTTGGCCCCGTCTCGGGTGTCTGGCGTTCGGCCCTGGGCACCTCTCGGGTTCGCTTGGCGTGGCCGTGAAGCCTCGGCTGGGCTCTGAGCGCCCTGGGGACCCGAGTGTTTTTGTGATCGATTGCGCCCTTCTCTGCTTTTCCCGCCGCCGCCGCCGCCTCTCTTTTGCCTGCACTCCGCGCGTCGCTTCATGGGGTCGCGACTCCTCCTCCTCCTTCTTTTTCCTCCTCCTCCTCCTCCTCCTCCTCCTCCTCCTCCCCCTCCTCCTCCTCCTCCTTCCTCCTCCTCCTCCTCCTCCTCCTCCTCCTCCTCCGGGCTCCGGGCGCCTCCGCGAGGGGAGAGCTCTTCCTCCTCCACCGCCGGACGCGGGCGGCGGGCGCGGCCCCGCGGCCCGCGGGCGGCTGCGCGCGGGTCGCAGCCTGGGCAAGAGAGCCGCCGAAAGGGCGGGAACTCTGCACCGGAAGCTCCGCTCCCCAGGGGTGGGGTGGCGGTTGGAGGGAGCCAGAGGTGGGAAGGGGAATTGCCGATACCGCTGCCCTCGCTTGCGTTTGGGCGTTTCCGTGCGTCCTGGGGGGCCTTCGTCGCCGTGGCGCCGGATCCGCTCCGAAATCCTGGCCAGAACGCACCCGGGGATAAGTCCGGTTCGCGAGAGGGCGTCGCGGCCGTCATCTTTCGGGTTCAGGTCCGTCGGTTTCGGTCCTAGGCCGCTTCGCTAAAGGGTGGTTGACTAAAGGGAGGTTTGTCCACGTCCGAGAGGAGGGATCATGGACCAGGGAAGAGGGATGGACGGACATGGGGAGCGGAATAGGGGTGTGTACGCGGGGTGGCGGTGTCGAGGGATGGACGGATGAATGAGCGTGGGTGACGGGTGAATGAATGAGGGAGGGAGAGAGGAGGTAAATAATTGGGCGGGTTGTTACACGTGATGCAGAATTAACGTGCAAAAGGATACTCCGCTCTCCACTGCGAATGCGGATTCGGTGACAGTTTACCCCGCCGCCTGGATGGAGGAGGAGGAGGAGAAAGTGGTGGAGGAATGGAGGGATGGATAGAGAGTGAGAGAGAGAGAGAGACAGAGACAGAAGGGATCAAAGCGGAGTGATGTAAGGAGGGAGGGAAGTGGGAGTGCAGAGGTATCGAGGGATGGAGGATGGAGGAGGTGGCGATGGATGTAGGCAGGGAGGGAGGGAAGGAGAGAAGGATGGACGGAAGTGGGCAGAGTGATGAGGGAGGAGGGAGAGATGGAGGGACGTAGGGAGGAAGGAGTGATGGACGAAGGATCATTGAGGGGCGGATGGAAAGGGTGCGGCCGGGGCGAGAGAGGCAGGATGAAGGGAGTGATGTAACTAGGGAAGGGCGGAGGGACGGAGCACAGAGAGATGGAGGGAGGGATGCCCGAGGAGGGAGGAGTGAGGGACGGGGACAGGAAATTCGCAGGATGGAGGAAGGAGGAGGAAGAGGAGGGAGGGAGAGGGAGGGGGAGGGCGGAGTGAATGGGTGAAGTGCAAGGGAGATGGTACTTCGAGAAGCGATGAACATCTGTGAGCAGAGGAGGTTGTGGACTGATGATGGCTACGATGGTTACAAGAACGATGGTGGTTGTGGTGATGATGGCGGGGTGATGCTGAAGATCAGGATGATGGTGATGATGAGGAGAACGACAGCACCTACGACGGGACGATGGTGGTGGATGATGATGATGATGACGACGATGGTGATAGTGGTGATATCGAGATTGGCAATGATAATGGTAATGGCAGTGTTAATGACAATGATAATAGTATTAATGGTAATGATATTGGCAATGACAATGACAAGGATAATGACAAGGATATTGAGAATGATAATGCTAGTGGTAATGATGGTGATGCTGCTGATGATGAGGAGTGGCCAGACTTTGGATTGAGAATGGTGAGGATTCAGCGTGATAATGCTTTGTATTGCAATGGGCGTGGTGGTGACCACTGCAACTTTTTGTTGTGATGGCGATGACTACGGAGGTGTTGATGGTGAGGCTGCATACGACAGGGCCAGGGCCGCCACTGAATGACGACGACCGGCGCCAGGCATGACGACTCGAACAGCACCAGTCGTAGACTCGAGGGAACAGAAGCAAGCTCCCGGCTCTGAGGAGGACCACGAGCAGGAGGACAAGGGCGACTGGGAGGAGAGGCGGAACACCAGGAGGAGGATACGGAGGACGAGGACGTGGAGGATAAAAGAGGAGGAGATGAGGAGGACGCTGGGGAGGAGGACGACGTGGAAGGAAGGGCGACGGCGACGGCGACGACAGCGACGACGACGACGACGACGAGGACGATCCCCGCCCGCCCCACGCCGCGTTTCCCGCGAGGAGGACCCCGAGGCCGAGCAGCGGCGGGCGGAGCTCGCGGTCCAGGCGCCCCGGGGCGCCGGCGGCGGATGGCCGGGAGGCCCCCCCTCCCCAGAGGCGGCGCGCGGCCACCGGCACGGCTCGGCTTTGGGAGCTGGCCGGCTCCACCCGGGGTGAGCGGAGGTCGCCTGCAGGGGCGCGCGTGTGCCTGGTGTCTTCTCCTCTGTCAGTGCTGACCAACGAATCGGAACCGAGCCCACCGCGCCCTTGGAGGGCGTCGAGGGCCGTGGCCCGCGGCGGGTCCTGGACGGGCGCGCGCTGAGTTCCTTGTTGGGCAGTGGCAGAAGCGAGATGAACCAAGGTATGCCAATGTGTCCGCACGCGCCGTCGATGTGAAGGAGTCTTTCACACCACCTGCGCCTGCGCTTGGCAGTGTGCACGGTCTGCGCACTGTGCCTTCGACCGCGTTCGATCGCAAGTAGGCCTTCCATGTGCTGCTCGCGCCTGAGGACCCTTTGCGCCGCTGGCTCGAAAAGTCTGGTGTGCTGCCGGAGGCCTCCCCTCTTCCTGCGGGGCGCCGCCACTGGCACGGCTTGGACCCCCTCCCTGGGGAGCGGGGGGCCTGTGCCGTCTGGGTCTAGGCCTCCCACATAAGTGACGCAAGACAGCGGGGTCGTTTGCGCCGATATTGGCGCGTAGACTGCCCGCGCAAGGTCGCGCGTAAGCGCCTTCGCTTCCAAAGTAGCGTGCCGCGCCGGCGGCCGGCGTAGTCCGCAGCCTAATGTCGCTATGGCATGTCGCGTAAGACCCAGTTTTGATCGTCGTTCAGATGGGGCCGCGCAGGTGAGGTCGGAGGATTGCGCCGCATCGTTGATGCATCGCTGATGCCGTTCGATGTAGAGCCCGATTTTCTCCACGCCGATGGCGCCGATGTATCAGCGATGCGGCGCGGCCCTCCGACCCCATCGGCTCGGACCCCATGTAGGGGGCCTCTACTGGGGGGTTTTCCCAACCCCTTCGCGCGCAGAGGTCCGCTGCGTGTGCGCCCGTGTGCTGCCCGAGGCCTCCTCCCGCACTCCTCCTCCGCGGCCGCCTTCTTTTTTTTCCCGTTGTCGTCTGCTTGATATCGCTCGGACGTGTGCATTGTTCCTTCGGCGAGGACCTTCGAGGAGCATCCCTGATCATTAGGCGAAAAAACCACGAACGAAACTGGAAAAAACACCGGGAATGGACGTCCGAGCGATGGCGAGTCTGTGAGCGCCCGTGGCCCCGGCGTGGTCCGCCGGCTGCCCGAGCTCCTTGTGCGCTCGCCCACGCCGTTGGCCAAAAGCGTCCGTGTGGTTGCCCGTCCAGGCCCCGTCGGCGCTCAGCCTGGTTGCAGTCGGTGGGCCAGCGCCTGCATCTCTGAAACGACTCGGTTCGCCCGGATGGCTTGTCGCGCGCTCGAGAGGCGTCTGTGCACACGCACGAGGCTCTGGGCAACCACTGCATGCCGCTTCGGGCCCCAGCCGCGCCATCCCGTACTCGGCCTGCGCTCTCCCCCACCTGCAAGGTCGTGCGGTGATTTCACAATGTGCTCAGCGTTCCTTATTGTCACTCGCGACGGTGCCGTCACCTCGTCGGACGAGGCAACATGTGTTTGTGTGCATCATGCATTTGACCCCGATTCGCTCATCTGCGTTGTTGTCTCGGCTGCGCCACCTTTTATGAGGCAGCCAATTCGATGTAATCGTGGACCGAGGCTTCGCTCTGTAAGCGGACCCAGTCGCGCGTAGGAAAAGCACATGTGTCTGTGTGCTCGTAACTTCACGAGGAGGCGGATCAACTCTGTGGGAGTCCCTCCTATGTCTCAACTTCTGATTGGTATCTCTGGCGCGTCGGAGGAACACGCGTGTGTGTGTATGTGTGTGTGCGCGCGTGCGTGTGTGCGTGTGTGTGGGTGGGTGGGTGCGGGTGCGGGTGGTGTGTGTGTGTGCGTGCGTGCGTGTGCGTGCGTGTGTGTGTGTGTGTGTGTGGGTGTGCGTGTGTTGTGTGCGTGTGTGGTGTGTGCGTGTGCGTGCGTGTGCGTGTGCGTGTGTGCGTGTGTGCGTGTGTGCGTGTGCGTGTGCGTGTGCGTGTGGTGTGTGTGTGTGTGTGTGTGTGCGTGTGTGGTGTGTGTGTGTGTGTGTGTGTGCGTGTGTGTGTGTGTGTGTGTGTGTGTGTGTGTGTGTGTGTGGTGTGTGTGTGTGTGTGTGTGTGTGTGTGTGTGTGTGTGTGTGGTGTGTGTGTGTGTGTGTGTGTGTGTGTGTGTGTGTGTGTGTGTGTGTGTGTGTGTGTGTGTGTGTGTGTGTGCGTGCGTGCGTGCGTGCGTGCGTGCGTGCGTGCGTGCGTGCGTGCGTGCGTGCGTGCGTGCGTGCGTGCGTGCGTGCGTGCGTGCGTGCGTGCGTGCGTGCGTGTGCCATGGCTTTCCTTGCCCCTTGCGGTGTGTGGTGCCGCCTCTCTTCCGCTCGGCTCCCCCCCCGTCGGTCGGCCCGTTGTCCTTCGCGTCCGTCCGTCGGTCTCCCTCGACTGCTCGCTGCGGCGAGCGCGCGCTGGCTGCGGCTTCGTCCTGTGCTGTTTCGCCTGGCTGGTCCAGCCGGGCTCGTGACTTCAGAACGGCCAGTGGCCAGGCCCGACCCGCGACGCTCAGAAGTCTGCGTGTGTGCGTGTGTCTGCCAGTCTCCCCAGCGGACCTGGCTGCGCAGATCGCGGCGCTGGCTGCCGAACGCGCCAAGGCCGCGACCGTGCTTCCCCAGCGCCGCGCACTGCCGCCCCGAAGATGGCACTAGCGCCCACGAAGCCCTGCTGGGCCAGCGCTCGCCGCGGGAGGGAAGCGCTGACCCGCGCAGTCACGTGAGCCAACATGGCTACAGAGGAGGAGGAGGAACAGGAGGAGGAGGAGGAGGAGGAGGAGGAGGAGGAGGGGGAGGAAGAGGGGCGGAGGAGGGGGAGGAGAGGAGGACGAGGAGGAGGAGGAGGGAGGGGAGGAGGAGGAGGAGGAGGAGGGAGGAGGAGAGGAGGAGGAGGAGAGGAGGAGGGGGAGGAGAGGAGGGGAGGAGGGGTAGGAGGAGGAGGGAGGAGGAGGAGGAGGAGGGAGGAGGAGGAGGAGGAGGTGGAGGAGGAGGAGGATGAGGAGGAGGAGGAGGAGGAGGAGGAGGAGAGGAGGAGGAGGGTGGAGGAGGAGGAGGAGAGGAGGAGGAGGAGGGAGGTGGAGGAGGAGGAGGAGGAGGAGGAGGAGGGTGGAGGAGGAGGAGGAGGAGGAGGAGGAGGAGGAGGAAGAGGAGGAGGAAGAAGGAGAAGAAGAAGGAGAAGGAGAGGCGGAGGTGGAGGTGGAGGCGCAGGCGCCGGCGGAGGCGGGCGTGGAGCACAAGGGACAGCGGCACCAGCGGGCGGAGCAGGGAGCTCGCCGCGGCCCCTCCGTGTGCTGGCCCGCTCCGCGTGGGAGGTGCACGAGCACGGCAACCTCCGCGCTGTGCCGTCGCCAGCGGGGAGCTTCAAGGATGCCCATCGGGGGAGGGGAGTCCGAGGCGGGAATTTATACATGACCACCGGCTGGAGGGCCAGTTTTCGGAGCCTCGACAGGCGGCGGATATGGACATATTCGGGCCCCCAGGGGCCGAAATGTATCCAGATCCGCCGCCCGTTGGGGCACCAGGACGTCGGTTCTCAGGCGGTGGCTATGGATAAATCCCCGCCTCGCAGGGGGAGCGGACTGCTTTCTCTGCAAGTCCGGCGATGGCCGTGGTCATCGGGCCCGCGCGCCCCCCCCAACCCCCAGACAGCCTGACCGTGTCGGCTGCGCAGGGCCGGAGGGGGTACGCGGTACACTGGGTGCGCGTGGGCAGAAACGTGGGGAGGCCCAGAGCGAAGAGATTAAGGCATCCGCCGGTATCTCCCCCCACGCTGGATAAAACAGGTTTTTGGTTATGGCCAACAGCCAACACATTTTCACATATATATATATATATATATATATGTATACACATACATATATGCATATATATATATATAAGAAAAGAAAAACGATCTTGAGAAGGCAGCAGTAGGGCGACTTGGGACAGCAATAGTTTGCCTTGGGGGGGGGGCCCTCGGAGCCATGGCTGGGCGCGGCTTGGAAGACTGGTGTGCTTGGACCCTGGGAGGGGTGCGGGAGCCGATTTTGAGCCGCCGTTGTCTGCTCCGCACGAGGGGGGGATGGCGGAGCAATCTCTGCTCGATCTGCGGAAGCGACGAATGTGGGATGCCCGACGTGACCCCGACGCCCCCTGCCGGTGGGGGAAAGGGGGAACGGGGGGAAAGGGAGGCGGGTGAAAGGAGGGGAAGGGGGGAAGGGGCAGGGAGGGAGCCCCGGCGGAGTAGGGCGGTGCGGATGGGGCAGCAGGGGAGGGGAGCGGGGCAAGCTAGGTGCGCTCGCGTCCTATCTGACGTCCGACCCCTCCCTCCCATCCCTTACCACGGCGTAGACATCCTCTCTTTTCGCGCAGTCGGATGTCGATCAGGGCGATGATCGCGAGAGGGTACGCGATGCATGGTAGAGCACGGCATGGCATGGCGCAGAACAGCACGGCAGAGCGTACCATGCCATAGCATGGCGTAGCATTGTGCAGGGAAGCATTGGATCACAAAGCATTGCAACGCAAATCATGGCATCGCACAGCGGCGCAGAACACAACACCACACAGCATGTCATGGCATGGCGCCGGCGCCGGGTTCCTTGGAGGGTAAGTGGATCGTCTTCGAGACGTCTATGCCGGTCTGGAGTCGTGGCTCCATGTCTAGCTCCTTGGGCTCCCCGAAAACTCTACACAAGGCGGGGCTGATGGAGAGCACCCACTGGCTCTGCTTTCAACATCGCCTTCTCAAAGCAGAAACGGGGCTCCCGCTGGATACGTCCTGAAAACGACGGCGCCCCAAAGCGGGAAAGGCTCTGCGGCTGAAAAACCAACGAATCGGCACCGAATGTGTAAGTACTTCCGATGGTTTTTCTGGGGGGTCATTTTCTATATTTGGGGGCCTATTTGGAAGGACCGAAAACGCCCGCGCTGCAGCGGGAGCACGATTTATACTTATCCCAGAGCGACCCTACCTAGGAGTTGGAGCCCCGAGGAGAGCAATATTAGTAGTAACGGTAATCGCCGTCCTCCTCCTTCTCCTCATCGTCGCAGTTGTAGCAGTAGCGGTAGTCGTAGCTATGCTATGCTGCGTTATGTTGCACAATGCTATGCTATGCTATGCTATGCTAGGGTATGCTAGGCTGCGCTATGTTATGCTAGGCTATGGTATGTTGTGCCATGCTGCGCTATGCTATGCTATGCTATGCTATGCTATGCTGCGCTATGCTATGCTATGATATGCTATGCTATGCTATGCTATGATGCGCTATGCTAGGCTAGGCTATGATATGCTATGCTATGCTGCGCTATGCTATGTTATGCTATGCTATGCTATGCTGTGATATGCTGCGGCATGCTATGCTGTGCTATGTTATGCTATGCTATGCTATGCTATGCTGCGCTATGCTATGCTATGCTATGATATGCTATACTGCGCTATGTTATGCTATGCTATGTTATGATATGCTATGCTGCGCTGTGTTATGATAAGCTAAGCTTAACTATGATATGGTATGCTATGCTGTGCGGCGCTATGTTATGATATGATATGATATGATATGATATGATATGATATGCTATGTTGCGCTATGCTATGATGCGCTATGATATGTTATGCTATGATATGATGTACTATGCTATGCTATGCTAATGCTGCGCTAAACTAAGCTGAGCTAAGCTAAGCTAGGTTAGGCTAAGCTAAGCTAAGCTAGGTTAGGCTAAGCTAAGCTAGGCTAAGTTAAGCTAGGCTAAGCTAAGATGAGATAAGCAACGCTAAGCTAAGGGGACGTAACTGGGGGAACCGCGGGGCGGATACTGGGGGAACCGCCCGGGGCGTTTTCCACTGCCCGGCCCCATTTAAGCCCAGAGAGTAAGAACCCTTCTAGGCAGAGCCTAGGTAAGAAACAACCCGAGGCGCAGAAATGGGCCAGCGCCTCAGCGGGAGCAGCATTTGGATGAACAGAACCCAAGTGAAAATCCATATCCCGGGAATCCTGTGTGTAACAAAAGTCTGCGGAAGGACATCTTCCGGACGTCATCAGGGGAGAGACGAGAGCAGTATATGGTACAACTGCGAGAGGGAAGTGGCCGCGAGGGGCGTGGGAAATGGGGGAGGGGGGCAAGAAGGGGTCCCTGGCGGAGCAGGGCGGCGTGGGGGGGGGGGCGGAGCGGCAGCGGGGGAGGGCGGCGGTGGAGGGCGGGCGGGAGCGGTCGGCGGGGGGGGGGTCGCGGCGGGAGGCCGCGGCGGAGAGGCGGAGGGCGGCGCCGCGGGGGGGAGGCGCGGCGGGGCGGACGGGGGCGGCAGGGCGGAGGGCTTCCGGCAGGGCGGCGGGCGGGGGCGGGGCCAGAATCGCCAGGGGGTGGGGAGCGGGTCCTGAGGGGAAGCGGGCCTGGAGGTTTTCGCCGTCTTCGGGCTCTCGGGGCCCTCCACGGGCCCCGGAATTGTGAGGAAACGATTCAGGGTGAAGAACCGGTCCCGGGGGAAGGCCCTGGGGTCCAGGAGCCGTTTCCCTCAGGACCCGTTTCCCCCATGCGAAACGGAGGGGCGGGGCGGGTTCTGCGCCAGGCGTGCTCCGTCCATGCAAGCAAGGGCGGGCGGCGCGGATGCCGAGGGGTCATGCCGCTTGCACCACCGTCGAGCATGGTAAAAAGGAAAGAGGAGCCAGCCCCTAGGTGGAGGAGCTGTCCGAGCAGGAGGGGGGGGAAGGGAGCGGGTGGGTAGGTAGGGGGCGGGGGGTGGCGGGGGAGAAGGCGGCGGAGGTGGGGGAGGGGGGGGGGAAGCGGAGAGAGGGAGGGTGGTAGAGGAAGGGGGGAGGAGGGAGGGGAGCGCGGCCCGATCGTCTTCGGGAGCGCCGGAGCCATCCCGCGCAAGACTGGAGCAGAGGTACGACGAGGGGTCAGCCAGGGAAGGGGAGGCCGACATCGAGGACCCCACGGGTATCGGAGCAGAATTGAAGTGACCGCAGGGGGGTAGACGCTCCTCCTCTTTTTCCTTTTCTCCTCATTATTATTATTCCTCTTCCTCCTCCTCCTCCTCCTCCTCCTCCTCCTCCTCTTACCTGCTCCCTCCCTCTCTCTCCTCTCTCCTCCCTCTTGCCTCCCTCCTCCTGCCGCCTCCATCCGCCCTTCCTCCCTCGCCTAGCGTCCCTGCTCCAGCGTCCCTCCATCCTCCCCCATTCCTCCCTACTTGCTCCTCCCTCCTCCCTCCGCCGAAGCTGGAAAACCGAGAAACGACGTTAACCTTTGAACATCCAGAACCTAGCCCCTCCACCGTCCGACCTCCTCCTCCTCCTCCTCCTTCTCCTCTTCCTCCTCCTCCTCCTCCTCCTCCTCCTCCTCCTCCCTCCTCCTCCTCCTCCGCATCATCATCATCATCATCATCATCATCATCATCATCATCATCATCATCATCATCATCATCATCATCATCAGCATCATCATCATCACCATCACCATCATGATCATCATGATCATCATCGTCGTCGTCGTCGCCGTCGTCATCATCATAGTCGGCATCATGATCATCATCATCATCAGCAGCAGCAGCATCGTCATCATCGTCATCATCATAATCATCAACATCATCATCACCACCATCATCAACACTATCATCATTAGCAGCATCATCATCGTCCTCGTTATCATCATCATAATCATATTCATCTGCATCATCATCATCATCATCATCATCAGCATCATGATCATGATCATGATCATGTTCATCATCAGCATCATCATCATCACCACCATTATCAGCAGCATCAGCACCATCATCGTCATCATTGGAGTCATCATCATCATCATCATCATCATCATCATCAACGTCCTCGTCAGCATCATCATCATGATCCTGCTTCTCCTCCCTACTCGTCATCCTCCACCTCCTCCTCTTCCTCCTCCTCCTCCTCGGCCTCCTCCGCATGATCATGTTCCCTCCTCATCGTCCTATTCCTCCTCTCCCTCCTCTTCCTCCTTCTCCTACTCTTTCTCCTTCGTTCGTTTTCTTTCGTTGTCCTCATAGATAACTCCTCCCGGTCGCACCCCGAGGCCAGTCGAAAGGGCGTGCCGGGCGTTGCGCCTGAGACGTCTTCATGATTATGATCTTGAAGCATAACAATTGTCAGCAGTTTCACACATGGAGGGCGGGTCGCTTCCAAAATGTGGCTCTCGCCTTTGCGCCGCGCACATACGTTCTAATCTCCTGCAAGAGTTCCACGGATTGAGGGCAGGTGGTTTCAACATGTGGCTCTCGCCTAGGCGCCGCGTGCATTCATTCAAACAAGTTGCAAGAGCTTCACGGATTGAGTGCGGGTGGGTTTCGGAATATGGATCTCGCCCTAGCGCCGCGCACATTCATTTAACACATTTGCAAGAGCCTCACGGATTGAGGGCGGGTCGTTTTCAACATGTGGCTCTCGCCTTAGCGCCGCGCTCATCTGTTATCCGTAAAGGCTTCGCCCCCTGCCGCCGGCCCCCTCTCTCGGAGAATGGGCAATGCAAGGGCGAAATCATGAGGCCTTGGCGCCGCCGTGAAGCAGCGTCGGGGTTCTTTTAACGTAATTTACGAGGGTTGATGGCTTCGGAGTCGCGGCTATAGAGTAATTTACGCAGGTTTTATGGCTTCGGTTACGCGATTACGGTGTAATTTACGCAGGTTTCTCTGGCTTCGGATACGCGAACATTGCATAATTTACATAGGTTTTATGGCTCAGGATACGCGATTACGGCGTAATTTACAATGGTATATGGCTTCGGGGTCGCAAGTATACCGTAGTTTACGCAGGTTTTTATGGTTTCGGAGACGCGAAGAGTGCGTAATGTGCGATGGTTTATGGCTTCGGACACGCGATTATAATGTAATTTGCGAGGGTTCATGGATTCGTGGACGCGAATCTTCAATAATTTTCAATGGTTCATTGCATCGGGAACGCAACTATTGTGTAATCTACAAGGGCTTATGGCTTCGGAGACGCGAATATCGTGTAATCCACTAAAGCTTATGGTTTCGGGGACGCGAGCATCGCGTGATTTACGAGGGTTTGTGGCCTCGGGCACGCACGTATGGGTAATTTACACATGTTTATTGCTTCGGGGGCACGAATATGGTGTACTTTGAGAAAGGTTTATGGCTTCGGGGACGCGAATATGGTGTAATTGCCGAAGGTTTATAGCCTCGCGAATTTCATGTATTTTTGTGTGTCCCGCGCCCCCCCCAGGAATTCAGAGCACGCGATCTGTGCGTGGTAACAATGGCGGTTTGCAGCTCCCCCCCCTCGCGCGGTCCATCAACAAGGAACAGCAAGCAGCATAAAAAGCAATCCTGGAACAGTAGAAACTGGAAGCAGGAGCTGGCGCAGGGAACAGCAAACCCTGGCCCTACAGCCCGGTGGCCCCACAAGGGGGCCGGCGGACTCAAAAATTGGAAGCGCTTCACGGATGGAGGGCGGTTTCTTTTCAAAATGTGGCTCTCGGCCTGGCGCCACGCACATTCGCTTGCGTGTTCTTTTTATAATCAAACGTTGCGAGAGTCTCATTGGTTCTCATGGTGAAGGTGCCAGAAATGGTGCTTTGGAGCGATTCATGACTGTCAGGGCGCAGCAGTTACGCTGATGCGAGGTGTTGGATTCCCAGGAATGGTAATCTGGCACTACTCAGGATCGCCAAGACGTAACAGTCAGGTTACTTCGTGGCGCTGAAGTCCTGAGACTGGTGTTTTGGCACGCTTTAGGATCTACGAACGGTTGTCCCCAACAGGGCAATTCTTTTCGTGGATACGAACCCTTTTGTAGGGGCCTATGAAAACAGAGCTTCGAGGGAGAGTGTATCCCAACATCGTTGATGAGTCTTGGGTTTACACTGGTATTCCTCCTCCCCTCCTCCTTCTCCTTCTCCTCCTCCTTCTCCTCCTCTTTCTCCTCCTCCTCCTCCTCCTCCTCCTCCTCCTCCTCCTCCTCCTTGCTCCCTATTCACCCTCCACCTCCTACTCCTCCCGCTCCACCGCTCCACCTCCTCCTCCTCCTCCTCCTCCTCCGCATAATCATCATTATCCTTCCTCCTTTTACGTTGATCGGACTTCCTTCTCCTCTCCTTCTCCTCCTCCTCCTCCTCCTCCTCCTCCTCCTCCTCATCCTCCTCCTCCTCCTCCTCCTTCTCTTCCTGCTCCTCCTCCTCCATCCTCCTCCTCCTCCTTTTCTGTCCTCCCTTTCTGGGGTCACCGAACCACTTGCTCTGATGTGCTCCTGCCTTCGTCCTGTGCGTCCCGGAGTACTCATGGGGGCTGCATCTTCACATGTGCTCTTGCCTTGTCCTGTGCATCCTCGCATATGCTCTCGGGGCCGCAGGACCTGTGCATCCCTGAGTACGCCCTGAAGGGACTGAAGGAGCACAGGACACGACGCCGCGCCAGGCCAGGACCAGGTGCAGAGAGCGAGGGTGGCGAGGGCCAAGTGGAGACGATGAGGTGCCGGGAGAATGGAGGGGGAGGGGGGCAGGGAGAGTGGAGGGGGAGGAGGGAGAGAAGGGAGGAGGGAGGAGGGAAGGGGACGTGGAGGGATCGTCGCCTCCCCAGCGGCCGCCTCGAGGAGGCCAAGCTCGACGTGGTCACCGTCGACGGCATAGTTGTGTGTGGAATGGGCCAGGGGCTCGAGCTCATCCCCATGGTCTTTGAGGCCGCGGGGCGGCCCTCCGAGGAAGCGGCGGCATTTGTGCGCAGCTATGGCGCCGACCTCGAGGAGGACGAGCGGAGCGAGCTCTTGGGCGACCTCTGGCGGGAAATCTCGATGACGGCCTTGCAGACGGGCAGCGCCGAGGTGGTCCTGAGCGCTCTCGGCCAGCAGCCCGCTGCGACTGCCGCCGTGCCTCGGCGGCAACTGCGACCACAGCGACACCGGCGGCCCGGGCCACAACCACCACGACGCCCACAGCACGACTAGGCGCCAGCGGCCGCAACCGCGCCTACCACGACCGCCGCCGCAACCCCCACCACGACCACCGCGCCCACCAGCACCACCACCACGGAGCGACCGGGCGCGCCGGGCACCAGAGCCACGCTTACCGCGACAGCCGCGGCCACGACCAGCACGTCCGCCAACGCCAAGACCACCAGCAAGACTACCGCCAGACCGACCACCACGACCCCCACAACGACCACCACGCCCGCATGCGCGACCTGCGCGACCGCCCCCGCCTTCCGCCCCCCGTATCCCTTCCCCTCTTCTTTCCGTCGCCCTGCTGGGCCGCCTCTCCTTGTGATTATCCTCGAAACGTGGCGTCGGGTATGCATTCATTAGTTTGTAACTCGTGCCACGAGGCCATTCCTCAAAGAGGCTGTGTCCGGGCGGCTTGCTGGTGATGGGGCCAAAGACCATCGCCCCAACGCCCCAGAGCCCCCCTGTGCGACGGGGGCGGGGACCCATTCTGGTCCCCCAGGATTTTTGGGGACGCAGCAGGGAGGAGGGAGAAGGGAAAATGGAGGAGGGCAGAGGGAGGAGGGAGGAGGGAGGAAAGAGAGAGAGAGAGAGAGGAGAGAGGAGGAGGATCAGGATGATGATGATGATGATGATGATGAGGATGAGGATGAGGATGAGGATGAGGATGAGGATGAGGATGAGGATGAGGATGAGGATGAGGATGAGGATGATGATGCTGATGCTGATGCTGATGATGATGGTGATGATGATGGTTATGATGATGATGCTGATGTTGCTGGTGATGATGATGATGCTGATGATGATGATGATTATGATTATTGTTATGCTGATGATGAGGATGATGATGATGATGACGATGATGATGATGATGATGATGATGATGATGATGCTGATGATGATGATGATTATGATGCTGCTGATGATGATGATGATGATGATGATGATGATGATGATGATGGTGATGATGGTGGTGGTGGTGGTGGTGCTGGTGCTGGTGATGGTGATGGTGATGGTGATGGTGATGATGATGATGATGAGGAGGAGGAGGAGGAGGAGGAGGAGGAGGAGGAGGAGGAGGAGGAAAGAGGAGGAGGAGGAGGAGGAGGAGGAGGAGGAGGAGGAAGAAGAAGAGGCGGAGGAGGAGGAGGGGGGGAGGGGGAGGAGGAGGAGGAGGGCGAGGAGGAGGAAGAGGAGGAGGAGGAGGATAAACAAAAAAATAGTAAAGGAAGAGACGGGGGGAGGTCTCCGTAGCCATCTAGCTCAAGCCGTTTCTCCTGGTTTCTCCATTGCGTTCTCTGGACGATGGAGGCGGCTGGAGCACGGAGAGCACGATGGCTACGGGGGGCTGCCCGTCGGAGTGGCGGCCCACGGCGCGGCGCGTGGCCGACATCGATTCGGACGGGCCGCCCGCCGCCTGGCGCGCGGCACGCGCTGGGGCCCAGAGTGCCTGCGAGGCGGGCTTGCCAGCGGCCTTGGGCGCCCCGGGCGCACCAGGGTCTTGGCAGGACTGGGAGCTCGCCTCTCGGCCGTCGCTGCAGCTCCGGGCTGCGGGACGTCGTGTGCCTGGCGCTGCTAGGCGGCGCCGTGGCGCCGCACGACACGCAGCGCGCGTGCCTACTGGCGGCTTGCTGCGGCGGCATCGGAGGCATTGGCATGGGCCGCCTGAGGCCCGCGGCTGGAGCTTCCGGTAGGGCAGTGTGCGCGCTGTTCGTGGGCCATCGCGATGCGCTGCCGCGCAGCTTCCATGGAGACAGCGCGCGGAGTGCGCGAGTGCTGGAGTGCTTTCTTCCCTTCGCAGCGGGCAGGCAGGTGCACATGCTGAGCGCTGAGGCCATGGAGTTCACGCCTACTGCCGAACCGGGTCCCGACCCCGTCGCCGATGGGCCTCGAAGCACCTGCCTGCGGAGCTGTGGCGTTTGCATTCTGCCGGGTGGGCCTTCGGCGGCCCCCCCTTCCCCTGGCGGGAGCGCAGGAGGTGAAGCATGAACGCGGGTTTCGATCATTTATCCGCGCTATCTGTGCTGGTGTCAAGCTCGCTGGAGACGAGATTCGCAATGAAGGGCCTGGCGTAGCTCGTAGTGTTCACGGTGACGGAGAAGTTCCTGACGATGCCCTTGCGATGAGGGCCGCCCGACGGCTGGCAGTGCATAGCGGCTGCCGCCCGATAACCTGCTCATTGAAGGTGCCACCATTTCGGTTTTTGGATGGCACTTGAAGAAGGTTAAGGATCAGCCTATCGCGTGCGAGAAGGCCGCTCGTCGGCACGTGAAGGAGGTGGAGACCCAGATGGTCGTGTGGAGGCTGGAGGGCCCATCCACAGGGCCCTCTGTGCGCAGACGGGCGCGAGAGGATTCCGCAGTGCAGGCGCCATCTGTGACGGATGCAAGGCCAGACGCAAGCACCTTGCGCCGCCACCAGGCCATGGAACACATGAGGCTCGGGCGCAGCCGTTTGCACAAACTCAGACATGACGGAGGGTAGTGGTGTGTTTCGGGGATTGAGCGGCGGCACGTTTATGTGAGCCTTTTCCTGTCCATGTGCGGTCCCAGTGTACGCGTTGTCCGTTTAGTGGTCACGGAAGATGCATGCAGGCATGATTTATTCATCGCTTCGCTCAGTCCGCCGGCCCGTATTGTCTCGCCGCTGTCGTTTGTCTGGGTGTTGCTGTCAATGCTGTGCCGCTGGGCGGCTGGCACTTTCTGGAGGCGGAGCGTGGTGAGCGTCGCAGGTGAAGCAGTTGCCGTGGAATTGCTTCCTGTGGGTCCGCCTCTTTGTGTGTTTTTTGGGGGGTCTTCTGGGAGGCGTCTCGGGGGTCTCTTGGCGTTATCTAGACGCTTCGCGTAACCCCACCAGGTCTCAGTCTGTGGCGCGCCCCGCTTCGACTTGACACGCCGTTGGCGCTTCCGCCCGCGGCCGTTGACTGAAAAGTAACCCCACCAGCGTCTCGTGGCAGTCGGTTCAGTTGGCTCCGGCCACCTTGGTACTCTTGCAGTTCCGTAGGTGCCTCCGCCCCTGCATACAAGTCACTCGCAGCTTGCAGCCCCTGGCAGCCGACCACGCAGCCAGCCCATCCTTGCAGCGCGTTGCATGTGTGCACCCTGGCAGTGCAGCTTCCCAGCAGTTGCAGCCAGCCCCCCTCCACTCGCTGGCCTGCCCGCCGAGGTGCTGCGTGAGGCTCTGGCCCACCGCTTCAGGTTAATTCGTCTTTGCGCGGCCCGCTCTGACTGGACTCGCCACTGGCGCTCTCGCCTGCGGCCGCTGACTAAGAAGTAACCCCACCAGCCCATCCAGAAACGATGCCGAGAGGAATTGCCTCGACCAGGGAAGTGGGCAGCACACAGAAGAAGGGTCCCCAGGTGGAGGCTTCTTGGAGAGTCTTGGGGGCCTCCTAGCGGTCCCGGACAATTCTTAGAGCGTCTTGGGTGCCGCGGAGAGCTTCTTGGGGCTTCTTGGGGGTCTCTTGGGAACCTCTTGGAAGCCTATTGGGCGCCTGTTGGGGCCTCCTGGGCGCCTCTTGGGGCCCTCTTGAAGCGCTCTTGGGAGCCTTGGGAGCGCTCTTGGAACCCTCTTGGGCCATCTTGGAGCCATCTTCAAGCCTCGGATGGCCATCGAAAGCGAGAAGGCGAGAATGTAAAAAACATTGATTGTCCTACGGTTTTGGACGGATTTCGGCCTCTTCGGGGCCTCCTGGGGGACCTCTCTGGCCACTTGGAGCCGTCTTGGAGCGGTGTGGGGGCCTCTTGGAGCATCGTGGATGCCATCTTGAAGCATCTTGGAGGTCATCTTGGGCTCTCCCAGGCTCTCTTGGCCAAAACCTTTGTAGACAATCTGTGATTTGGGCATTCTCGCGGGGGCCTCTTGGAACGTCTTGGGTGCTTCTGGGGGGCCTCTTGGGGCCTCTTGGGGGTCTCTTGGGAGCCTCTTGGGGGCATCCTGGGGGCCTCTTGGGGGCCTTTTGGAGCCTCCTAGTCTCCTCTTGGGGCCCTTGTGGGGCACCCTTGGGAGCCGTGGAGCGCTCTTGGGGCCTTGGGAGCGCTCTTGGGAGCGCTCTTGGGGCCCCCCAAAAGGCCAAAATGGGGCCAAAACCCTAGTAAGACCAATGATTTGGGTTTCCTCGCCGAGGCCGTTTGGGACGCTCCAACGACCCGCGAAACGCCCCCTCCAGGTCCAGGGGAGGGGATACGGGGAGGGGTGGACCCCTCTCCGACGGGGAAGAAGGGGGTGGAAGAGGAAACACCCTAAACCACCTACGCCCTAAAGGGCTGGTGGGATTCGTGTTCCTCCGATGGGGCTCCTCTTAGGGCTGTCTTGGGCTGTCCAGAGGGCCTCGCGGACCGTCTTGGGGCCCTCTTGGGCCGTGTGGGGCCCATGTTGGGAGTGTGTTGGGCCGTCTTGGGGCGATCTTGGAAGTCTCGTGGGCAGTGTTGAACACGCTGGACTTCGAAACGTCGTATATGGGCAAAATGTATGTGTTCTGGAGGGGATGGGACACGTTTTGCTTCTTGCGGCTCTCTAGGAGAGCCTCTTGAGGCTCTCTTGGGGTTGTTGGCGGCGTCTTCGGCCGTCTGGAGGCCATTCTGGGCGTCTTGGGACGATCGCGCGCCTGTGCTGCCAAAAAGGGGTGAGGATAGATTCTGAGGGGCTGGTGCGCACGGCACCCGCTTGTCGGTTTTCCAGCCACGAGCCCACTCAAACGTGGGAGTTCGCGCGCAGCCTAGAACGCAAGGTTTTAGTGGGGGGGTGCCTGGGTATGGGGATTGTCCGCGGCCCATTTGGGCTCAAGTTTTTCTCCGGGCCTTGCCCTCCCAGGTGCCCTCCCTGGCCCGTTTTGGCTCTCGCCGCATAGCGGTTGGCGCCTGCCGGCGACGTCGTCGGCGCACGAGCCGCCGTCGGCCGGAGAGCCGCCAGCGGCGGCACAGGGAGAGGCGCGCGCGCTTGTGCTGCCAGAAAGGGATGAGGATAGATTCTGAGGGGCGGGTGCACGCGGCACCCGCTTGTCGGTTTTCCAGGCACGAGCCCACTCAGACGGAGGAGGAGGAGGAGGAGGAGGAGGAGGAGGAGGAGGAGGAGGAGGAGGAGGAGGAGGAGGAGGAGGAGGAGGAGGGAGGAGAAAGAGGAGGAGGAGAGCAGGTCCAGTAGGGGAGCAAAGGTTGCCCATATCCCACCCCGGATCCGTGTGCCGGCTCTCGTGGCCGGCCTCCACCCTTGCCCTTTTTCGGGCGGCTTGTCAAGGTGGGGGCGATGAGAGGGGGACGGGGGGAGGGCTGCAGGAACATGGCCCTATACCAGGCGGTTGCAAAAATGGATTAACGGGGCGTGGACCAGCGACGGGTCCCGCTTCCATGTGAAGTCGCGCATTTCCGCCGCCGAAGGACGCGGCACCGGCCGCATCCTGGGGAGGGCACATCCCCCGATCCATGGATTTGGCGACCGCGCGCCAAATCCACGGATCGCTAATCCATGTTTGCACGCCCCCGAGTAATTATACAGGGGCCCCCTGGGCCCCTGGGGCCCCGAATGTGCACCGTTCTTCATCCCCCCGCATCTTGCGACGCCCAATCCTTCCCCTCCCCAGTCTGGCGTGCGTTGGCTGATTCTCCCAGGTAAGACTGTGCCGGACATCAATCAAAAAAAAACATGCGAGAAAGTAGGGCGGACATTCAAGTTCCGCCCTATTTGTCTGAGGCATGGCCGAAACAGCGACGGCAAAGTAGAGCGGACATCGCCATTTGAGGAGCTTGGCAGGTAGGGGGGGAATTTCCGGCTGAAGTCAGGGAAGGTCGAGGTTTTCGTCGAGGATTGGGGATCGAGGTTTCGTCAGGGATCGAGGGTCGAACGTCAAATTTCGGGGCTTTCGCCTGCGATCGACCGCCACTCGCGTCGAGGATCGCCTCCGAGTCCCCCCCACTCTCGCTCTCCCCAAAGTGCGGCAGATCCGAAGTCAGGGTTTCTTTCCTCGCGGCCGCGCCCCCCTCGATCGGGGAGCCCGTCCGCGCGGCGGCGGCGGCGGCGGCCAGTGCCAGGATCTCGGCCCCGCTGCGGCGGATCTGCAGTCAGGGGGGTGGGGAGCGGCGGGCGGGGCTGCGGGGTCCTCTCAGGGCCACGGCGGGCCCAAAGGCCCCCCTCCCTTCTCCTGGCCCCCCGCCAGAAGCGACCGCAAGCCCGACGGTCGCGCGCCATGAGCGGTGGCTTGGGGGGCGGGCGGGCGGGCGAGAGAGGGGCTTTCTCCCACAACAATCGAAGCCGACGGTGAGGATGGGCAGTCTTCCCAAGGGTACCCTTGCATCCGTGCCTCGGCGGTCCATCCTTTTGAGTACTCTCGATGGCCCGTCGCGCTCGAGAAAGATCCAGCATGGGCGCCCGAGCGGCTTGCATCCTCATCGTGCATCCTTCTTTCGAGTAGGGGATCGACTACAGAGTTGATTTGTGCCAGACTTTTATTTTTCTGGTCGACTCCACGGGCAGTTCGTAGAACTTCCGCAGATCCACGATGTGGTTGACCTGTTTTGGTGGAAGGGTCGACGTGAACATCAACTTTGGGGTGACGCAAGTTTGTAGTCGATCCCCACCCCCACCCCCACCCCTACCCCCCCCCCCCCCCACCCCCCCCCCCCCCCCACCCCCGCCCCCCAACCCCCCCACCCCCAACCCCCCCGTAAGGGGGAAATCTGGGACTACTTGGGAACCACTCTGGTGGTGTATGTTGCTTCGTTGGGTTTCTTCTGATTGTTCACCAGTCGATCCTTGTCAGTTCGAACTAGCTGCAGCGCCCGACGACGCCCACTGGCCGTGCGCCTCGTCGCCGCCCCCCCGCGGGGGGCCCGCCCACA